TAACGTTAGCTAAAGCTAACCTAGCTGGCTAGCTGTATGATAACGTTAGCTAAAGCTAACCTAGCTGGCTAGCTGTAAGTTAAAAAATACAATGACATATAAGCTAGTAAATAAGCGCTAGTTCAGTTCTCCCTGTTCCCTCAGGACGTAGCAGCTAACATTAGCTAAAGCTAACCTAGCTTGCTAGCTGTGTGATAACGTTAGCTAAAGCTAACTTAGCTGGCTAGCTGTATGCTACATGCTAGCATAAAGGCTGAGCTCAGGATTCTGACACTGGACACCTGTATGGCCTTTCACACCTTTGAAATAATATAAACAATATCTATCACACTTTTCACTGCCTTTTTTTAATATACACAGTACTTGCACTTTTACTTATACTTGTACTTTCGATACTTGAGTAGCAATTTTTGAAATACTTCTACTTGCAATACTTAAGTTAGAAAAATTTAGTACTTCCGTACTTCCACTTAAGTATGGAGTTGAAAGAACACTACTACTTTTACTCAAGTCAAATTTTTTTATATAGTACTTGTACATCTACTCCACTCCTCTATTTCAGTACTTTATACATCTCTGCCTTACAGGCTACCATCCGGAGTGCCACACGCCCGCCGTGGAGCCCGAGGCCGACGGAGACTCCTGGATATGTCGGCAGTGCGTCTTTGCAGTCGCAACAAAGGTCTGAAAGCTCTGGCAGGAAACATTCGATGTGGGACAAGCTAAGTCCACTAGATCAGTAGCACTCTGATTTTATTAGTACAGCAGAACCTCTACATACGAATTTAACTGGTTCCAGGACCGACTTCGTATGGTAAAATATTCGTATTTTGGTTCAGAATACACTGTAATTCCTATAATTGGTTCCAAAAACCTACGATAACTCCTTAATAAACACTGCAGATAATTACACATAGCAATAAAACAAATGCATTATATAAGAGAGATGTAAAAAGAAAAAGATTATAAAAAAATAATCAATAAAATTGGGTTTTTATTGGCACTTATTGGTGAACGGAGGTAGAGGTGGAGATACAGAGATACAGGATGAACCCTAATTTACTCTAACTTTCACTATGGGAAATTTAAACTAACTTAGCTTATTTAATTTGATATTTATACTTTTTCAGACTTCAACATCATGTCGAGTCAATTATGTGATAAAATTTCACATCAGATGTTGGAAAATTTGTATCTTCAGGTATCGTAAGTAGGAGTTCTGCTGAACATCTAGACGTGCACATGGCTCCTGGGGTGTTTTAGAATAGATTTTAAGATTTCGTTATTTGTTTTTAAAGCTTTAAATGGTGTCGCCCCAGAGTATTTATCCGAAATGTTAACTTTGGGGGAGCACAACCGGTCATTTAGGTCTTCAAATCAGTTGGTTTTAGAAGTCTTAAGGTCAAGGCATAAACGCGGGGGTGATCAGGAACCGAGACTCTGGAACAATTTACCCCCGGATGTTACCGTCAGGAAGGTGGATCTTGCTGGAGGACTCAGGCGCGGAGATGCAGAAAACAGGGTTTATTGTATCAAAAAACAGGTTAAAAAACAGGGCTGTGGCAAAACTATGAGCAAAGTAACAAAGCAAGGTTAACAAAACTCTGGCAAAGTATCAAAACAAGACTGTGGCACAAGTACAAACGAGATTAACATGGCAGTGGTCAAAACAAGGCTATGGCAAAGTAACAAAATAAAGATTAACAAAACTGTGGCAAGGCTGTGGCAAAACATGGCTATGCGAAATAATCAAAACCTTACATGACGTGGGGAGACGAAAGATGAGAGACGAAAACGCACTGGCACAGGACATGGGAAACGAGGACTATTTAAACACATGAGGGAGGGGAACCCCAGGTGAACACAATAGGTGATCAAGACATAACGAGACACCAGACATTCCCCCAGACGTGACAGTTACAGATATCCTTCTTTTTAGGTTTAACTCAAATCACATCAGTTCACTCTGGCTTTTAATACGATGATTTGACTGTTCACTCTTTCTATTGTATGTTGTGATTTTACTCATTTTGGTAAGCCCTTATGAAATCTGCTGGTTGTTGTAGAGTGCTATATAGATAGAATTTGATTGATTGATTTTGATAGCTTTGGATGGGGATGTAGGTCAGCTGTGAGAAACGGGGTCCCGGACAGTTGGAGTCTGGACACTGAGCGACTGGCAATTAAACCCATTAGGCCTCATCTCACATCTCCAGAAGTGGAGCGCCTGGGATGGATTAGCTCTAAATGAACTTCCCCCAACTCGTGTAGTTTATCAGCCTCACAATGGTCAACTGTTCGGGTTTCCCCCGACACATGGTGGAGAAAAAAAAATCTAATATTTAAGTCAATACATTAGAACCTCTACTAAAATTGCTAAGTTATTTTAACCTTAAATTATTTAAATTGCTAAAACATATTAATTTTCCAACATCGGAAGTGAAATTTTGTGAAATATTCGACTCGACAACCAAAGTAAATTTAAAAACATATGTCAAAATCATTGGAAAAAATAATATATATGTAAAAATAAAATCAAAATAAATGGGCTAGGTTAGTTTAAAGTTCTCGTAGTGAAAGTTAGGGTTCGTCCTGTATCTCACTCCACTTCAACCTCCGTTCTCCAATAAGTGCCAATAAAAACCTCTTTTTATTGATTATTTCTTTATAATTTATTCATTTTTTACATCTCTCTTATAAAGTCCATTTGTTTTATTGCTATGTCTAATCCTTTATTAAGGAGTTATCGTAGGTTTTTGGAACGAATTCTAGGAATTACAGTGTATTCTGATGGGACTATTTGAACCAACATACAAATATTTTAGCATACGAAGTCGGTCCTGGAACAAATTAAATTTGTATGTAGAGGTTCTTCTGTATTTATTAAAAAGCGAGAAGCAGCATTTTTCTAACATAGACTAACATAGAGAGAAAATAATGCTAGCTGTGCGCAACGGCTAACTGGTGGCTAACCGGCTAACCGGCGATGTCCTGACCTTTGCAGCGAGGCATTTGTTTTATTGCTATGTGTAATTGTCTGCAGTATTTATTAAGGAGTTATCATGAGTTTTTGGAACCAATTATAGGAATTACAGTGTATTGTGATGGGAATATTTGAACCAACATACGAACATTTTCGCATACGAAGTAGATCCAGGAACTAATTAAATTCTTATGTTGAGGTTCTTCTGTATTGATTAAAAAGCGAGAAGCAGCATTTTGCTAACATAGAGAGAAAATAATGCTAGCTGTCCGCAGCGGCTAACCAGCGACTAACCGGCTAACTGGCGCAGCTGCTAACCGACGGCTAAATGGAGGCTAACTGGAGGCTAACTGGCGATGTCCTGACCTTTGCAGCGAGGCATTTGTTTTATTGCTATTTGTAATTATCTGCAGTATTTATTAAGGAGTTATCGTAGATTTTTGGAACCATTCTAGGAATTACAGTGTATTCTGATTGAACCAACATACAAATATTTTAGCATACGAAGTCGGTCCTAGAACCAGTTAAATTCGTATGTAGAGGTTCTTCTGTATTCATTAAAAAGCGAGCAGCAGCATTTTGCTAACATAGACTAACATACAGGACTGTCTCAGAAAATTAGAATATTGTGATAAAGTTCTTTATTTTCTGTAATGCAATTAAAAAACATGAAATGTCATACATTCTGGATTCATTACAAATCAACTGAAATATCGCAAGCCTTTTATTGTTTTAATATCGCTGATTATGGCTTACAGCTTAAGAAACCCAAATATCCTATCTATATAAAATAAAGAACTTTATCACAATATTCTAATTTTCTGAGACAGTCCTGTAGAGAGAAAATAATGCTAGCTGTGCGCAGCGGCTAACCGGCGGCTAACCGGCTAACTGGCGCAGCTGCTAACCGGCGGCTAACTGGCGGCTAACCGGTGGCTAACTGGCGGCTAACCGGCGGCTAACTGGTGGCTAACTGGAGGCTAAATATGGCTAACTGGAGGCTAACTGGTGGCTAACTGGAGGCTAACTGGAGGCTGACTGGCAGCCAACTGGTGGCTAACTGGAGGCTAACTGGAGGCTAACCGGCGGCTAACTGGCGGCTAACCGGTGGCTAACTGGCGGCTAACTGGTGGATAACTGGCGGCTAACCGGCGTTGTCCTGACCTTTGCAGAGAGGCGGGGCCCTGAAACGAGGACGCTTCGCCCGGCTGATGCAGTTCATGAAGCTGCGGCTCCCCTACCAGCTCTCGTCTTTGGACTGGGACCCGCAGCACCTGACCAATCAGCAGCAGTGTTACTGCTACTGCGCTGGACCCGGAGAGTGAGTCACTCTGTAGGACGCTTTTGAATCCATCAACCAGGTCTCCAACCTAAACCTGCTGAGTGGATCACTTAAAATAAGTGATATAATAGAGGGACACGGTGATGTGGTTAGGGTTAGGGTTAGGGGGAACCAGGACCTTGGACCAGGACCAGAGGGTTCTGGGTTGGAGTCCCGGGGGAACCAGGACC